GCATTCTGCTTGGACAACTTGGAAGCAAGAATGAAGTTGCGCATCGCCGCTTCATCCACTTCCACCCCCTTGCATGCGTGCAGACACGACAAACCTGTTTGAAACTGGATTTATCGACCCAAAGACCTCTGTGAAGCGATGTTGATTGGAATGCTTTGCACCTCTCTCTGCATGACTCGACCGCGTTGCCCAATCCAAGGAGAGGTATTGTCATCTCACCGGGCTCCTCATGCGGCTTCGACCCTTTGAAAAGTGCTTAGCATGAAATTCCACGTCCTCTTCCCCCCCAACCCGACCTTACCGGTACATCACTGTTAAATGAAGCCCGGACCCATTTCCTGATTGGGCTTAAGAGATACAAAGCTCGCCCGGGGAAGAATGGATCATGGATGACTCGGGAGCAACCGCGTCATCCAACCCGACCTGTCATCGGAGGCCGTTCTCCCACCACACCACCAACAGACCGAGCAGGGTGAGTGAGGTACGAGGATCAGATGAAATAGCGCGCTCACGGGTCACCTGCGAGTTATTATAGTATCCCCCAATAACTCCCTCCCGCCCAAGCCGCTGTGAGAACAATGAAGAGATACCCTCAGATCGCGAAGGTGGTAGGTGCACTTCGACCTGTGACGAGCCTTAAATGGACCCCACTCGTTAGTCCATCAATGCTTGCAAGCCAAAATAAAAGAAAAGAAAAAAAAGTCTCCAAGTTTGACAAGGTCCTGTCTCGGGGATTAATGTTTCCTCTGTACGACCTGTCGGTGATTTCTAGCGTGACTCTGAGGGTTGCTCGGCGATTTCGAGGAAAGCATGGCCAGATCTCGGCTCTTAAACCACGAACAGAGAGGGCATTTAGAGAAGGGCATTTGGCTTGCGTTACTGAGAACAGATGGCGCTCCTGTCACGACTACTTGCCGTTGATTCGTGTATCGCCCACTATCATGCTCACAAATTCATTTGTTACGCTGAACTCCAACTGATGTGTATCTTGGTTTCTGTTCACGTGGTTTGCGTGTTTTCGAACTCATTACTCTTGAACAACAGTTAACATTCCCGGACTCCATTTTCATCGATGCATATATGGTCAGGTCGGAATAAGCCTGTTCAAATAGGTCTTTTTGAATCCGTCGTCGATCTATTGCCATGTCTTGCATCGAATGGGCTTGGGGAAATGCCTCGGAAATGAGTTGCAAACCTCACAAATTATGCATATCAGACGACCAATCAGCTAGGCACTGCAAATTTCAAGGTCATGGTAGGGCCATTAAAAATGCATAACTACAGCGAGAGCATCCTGTACCTGCTGACTACACAACCACAACGCATGCTGCATTCACCGACGCTAGTTGGCGACAGACCTACCATTTCTCTTCACAGGCACATCCATGTGTAGTAAGTACCCTTCCTGACAATATGAAGAATGTTAAAGATTTGTGCTTCTGAAGATACATTGAACAAGATGTCTATGGACAACGTCAAAATTACATTCAGCCACAGATCTAATGAGACCCCTCACTCAGCCGAATCGATAATCAAGTGGCCGAAGTTGACTACCAGATCCTCCTTTTCGTCCGAAGGTTTCGCTGCATAAAGTCCGATCCAAAGGTCTTGCACTTTTGTGTCTTCGAAGAACCAGGTCACCTCTCGAAGGGGAGACTTCTGAACGCCCTCAACCAGATAGATCCATAAGCTGTTATCCGACTCTCGGACAATCTCCAGGGTGGCCGCTCCACCACCTGACGGCACAGGCTGCAGACTCCAGTCCGCCCAACGGTCCTTGGCGACAGTGCTCAGGTGTGGCCTGCCGTTGGCAAGCTCAATGCCGGACTTGACCCATTTTCGAGTTCCATCGGCACCATTGAGGACCAGGATCACGCCTCCCTGGTCGTACTTGTGTTTCCAGAGGGCATTGAATGCGACCCTGGCCCTCTTGAAGGATTGCACTGGCACGCTTCTGTACAGGATGGGTGCGTTGAAAGGCTCTGTGGAAGGAGGTTTGGCCCAAATGTCGGTTGAAGGGCTCGCTTTAATGGAGAACTCGGCGGGGAGGTTCCCGTCACCAGGAACCTTTTCGGAAGAGTTTGCGAATTTGAAATCCGTCATGATCGCGCGCAGTGTGAGATCCGATGTGGGTAGCGTTGAAGGAGATAGATTAGATCGAAGCGGAAGTCTTGAAGTGCGGAGGCGGGGGAAAAGATGAAGTGTAATGCGATGGTTGATATGAGGAAACACAAATGAAGATATGAGTAGCACGGTTAGGAAGACCGGGAACCTCAATATGAATAAGAGGCCGGAGGACCATGGCCCAGACCCTACGTCACTTGGAGGGGGAGCAGCTCCACCGTCCAGAAGGCGCTGGGTCAAAGCTGGAGAAGCATCCCAAGGGATCATTGCCCTCTGCGGTAACCTATGACAGCGATGACTCCATCTCCGGTGGGGTTATCGGAGGGGTCGGCGAGGGTAGGAAGCACGGCAGACACGAATGTTGCTGCTGCTGCTGCTGCTGCTGCACTAGCCAAAGTAGTCAACTCTGTACAGTACCATACTCAAAGAGGTAGATCGATAAGCATACTAGGTAGGTGGCTTCGTAGTACAGCATCTACGTACTGCAGGCGCTGCAAAGTCCGTGGGGTGGGCAGATAGTATAAGTACAGTAGTGCCGCAATGCTCCTCCTTCCCGTAACCGATCGAAATTGATTGCATAACTATGAGTGCTCGTTTCACAGGGGAGATGACATAAGCGAGACCTTCTCCTAGAAGGCGGCGTTGCGTTGTCGATCGGTCAGAGAATCTCCAAAATGGCAACCAGCGTCAAATCGATCGATGCTGATTTGGCACGACGAATTCCAGGCATGGGCTGATTGATATTATCCAACTCTCTGTGATGTTTCTCCTTCGTTATGTCTGCCCGTCTCCTTCACCCAGATGAGTATGAGCTAGAAACTCGCTCTTCAGCGGACTCTCAGGAGAGCTTCAATCTCGATGACGCCGATTTCGAATCGCAGGTGCCTCCGCGACCCAGACGGATGCTGAGAAAGGTTCCTTTCCTATTGAGACTGTTCTCTTCGACCTATTCTGGCTATCGTAGCCTGAAGCCTTCGCGACCGTTCCTATCGGCCTCAACACGCCGTGGTTGCTACCGCCGCCTGCTGTTTCGCCGCTGGTGCCTTCGCCTCCATGCCGCCGCAGGTATCATTCTTGCGCTTATCGTCCTAACGTCAATCTTCCGACCTTCGTATACTCGGCTGCCGCCACATTATTCGTCTCTTCGGGATGCAGTGTCGCAATCGACTGAACCCGGCCGTGGAAATCCCCGCAACGAGAAAGTCTTCATCGCTGCAAGCTTGTACGACCGCGATGGCGACTTGGCGCAGGGACACTGGGGAGATAGTGTGCTACGGCTAATTGACCTGCTTGGGCCAAGCAATGTCTTCTTGAGTATCTATGAGAATGACAGCGGCGCGGACGGGGAGCGGGCGCTTCGCAGCCTGGAGACACAGGTCACATGCAAGAAATCCATCGTATTCGAAGAGCATCTCGAGTTAGACTCTCTTGCAAAAATCGTGGCGCCCGATGGGTCAAGGCGAACGAAACGGATCGAATACTTGGCTGAAATTCGAAATCGAGCCCTACGGCCTTTGAGCGATCAGCATGATGTGCATTACGACAGGCTCTTGTACTTGAATGATATTGCCTTCAACCCGGTCGACGCACTTCACCTCTTGTTCTCTACAAATGTAGCGGACGATGGCGTTTCTCACTATCGCGCAGCCTGTGCTATCGATTTCGTCAATCCTTTCAAGTTCTATGATACTTACGCGACGCGGGACTTGCAGGGTTACAGCATGGGGCTTCCTATCTTCCCTTGGTTCTCAACTGCGGGAGAAGGTCAAAGTCGACAGGATGTGCTATCCGGAAAAGATGCCGTGCGGGTTCGCAGTTGCTGGTCAGGCATGGTGGCTTTCGACGCTCGGTTCTTCCAGCAATCTCCGGAAAGCCAAAGCTACAAGGGCGTTGAAACACCAGTTCAGTTTCGTGCTTCACATGAATTGTTCTGGGAAGCGTCTGAGTGCTGCCTCATCCATGCTGACATTCAGGAACCTCTGGCGAATGGGGGAGATAGCGGCATTTATATAAACCCATATGTCCGTGTCGCATATGATCCCCATACTCTGTCTTGGCTTGGGACGACTCGACGATTTGAGAGACTGTATGCCTTGATTCAAAATCTGATCAGTCGCCTTGCTGGACTACCATGGTTCAATCCTCGCCGAGATGAGATTCCGGGACAAAATGTACAACAGACAGTCTGGGTTCCAGATGAAAAAGAAGATGGCAGTGGCTCGTTCCAGACAGTTGATAGGGTTGCAGGGAAGGACGGCTTCTGTGGACGCCCGGGGCTGCAGGTAATTGTTGAGCATCGCGAAGAGGGACAAAAGGGGTGGGAAACCATCCCGATGCCGTCTTGAGGTTGTCTTTGCTGAAAGTTGGCACGTATCATTTTGCTGTCGTGAATCTCCACCGCCTGGTAATGCGTTTGTTTGTACTGAGGGTCCTGATTTGAGAGCCTCGTCTCCCCCGCCTTTCCATTAGCCCAAGAGATATATGTAACGCGCGCAGCAAAGTCTCAACTACAAACGCTTTGAAGAACTCCGGTGAATTACCCCAAGAATCTCCCGTGGTTCAATCCGTAGCTTTCACTTGGGGAGATTACTCATTTCAGCTTCGCTTTTATAGATACACCGAGCCGTTGGATGTTATGGTGATCATTCATGCCTTCTCTTCTCGTTCCAAAATGTCACCAGCTTCCTCCTCCGCCTTGGACCTTGTAAACCATCACTCCTCTAGAGACATGGAGTTCGCCAACCGTGTCACAGGAGTTATCTACGGGGTGCTCGATTCTCTTATGGATCGGGCGTCCTTGGCCAGCCTTGACGAAAGCCACCATGCCCCTAAAGCTGCGAAGTGGCCGACAATGAAGGGCTCTCGTCTCCATGCGGTCCGTCCAACTCTTCCTTCTCGACTTCCTCCAGTCTCGCTTGTGTCAAAGTTCGCGCTCTGCTTCCCGCCTGCTCCAGTTCCAGTCTGACCATTTCTTTGAAATACTGACAAGTAGTGGAAAAATCAGCAGGCTTCTCAAATCTCACCCGGCAACCAGAGGACCTCCCTCGTTGACTCGGTCAACACACTCAGAGCGTCTTCTCTTGCTCTGGTTTCACCCTCTACATCTCCCTCCTCTTGTTCCCCTTCCATCAGACCCCAGAACACATCCCCTAGCTTGTTTACCCAACAAGACTACACCGAAGAGAAAGACAACAAAACAGCGAACATGTATCCCGTCGCTGACGTGGACGATACCGCCGGCTTCATGGCTGCTGCGCGCGCCTGGAAGCCGGAGAGAGACTACTTCAACTCGTCCGCTCAGGTTGAGGATGTGTCTAATGACAAGCAAGGTGGTGAGGATAATTCCGCCAACGCTTTGGACTACAACGCGACTGCTGGCGATGACGACTTCGGTAGGTCACCCACACTTCAACCTGAGAGCCACACAGACTAATTTTCACCTGTGCATCCAGTTGGCATCCCCGGTGATGATGCTTTCGACGGATTCGCTCCCCCCAAGTCCGATGCTGGAGATTTTGAAGCAGGACTCGAGACTCAGAAGTCGGTCACAGATTGGGACGGAGCTGACAACACTGTGAAGCAGGAGCAGCAGCAGCAGCAGCAGCAGCAGCAGAAGCAGCGTGTTACTGCTGCTGCCGCCTCCAGCTTGCCTGTTACCCATACCCCCTCGGAGGAGGAAGATCGCGAGAACCTCACTACCTTCAAGTCGTGGGGTCCTCCCGCTCCTCGTGACAAGCCCGGTACTGCTGCCCCTTTGCCCACTTCATTGTCCTCAAATGCAGACTAACACCCTGTTTATTTATCAGCTGCTCGCATCCGTCGTGTTATCATCAAGGGTCTTCCCACTGCCTGGTGTAGCCCTGCCAAGGTCCTTTCGCTTGTGCACGGGGGTGCCATCGACAGCATCAACGTGACTTCCTCTGGCACTGCACACATCTTGTTCTGTGAAGCCGATGCCTGCAAGGCGTTTTATGACAAATACCCCAACGGCATCGATCTGGACCGGGAGAAGAAGCTCACCGTGTTTGTGGAGATGGGCCAGGAGGTTGACGTTGTCAGCTCCAGTCTCAGTTTCAGTCTCTCCGTCGGGGCCACCCGTGTTGTTCGTGCTGTCGGAGCCCAGATGGATGTCAATATGGAGAAGTTGGTCAAGCTGGCGACCTCCAAGAACGGCAAGCTGGAGAAGATGATTGACACCTACGTCCCCGGTGAAGTAAGTTGTCTTCCCTTGACCCTGCAGTTCCCTCAACTGATCAAACCGACTCCAGGCCCGCAGCATCGTGTTCCGCTTCTGCAGTGTCGACGACGCCGTCCGCTTCCGTGCCGCCTTTGTCCGCGAGATTGAATTCGAACAGTGCAATGTTCAGTACGCGGCTGATCCGTAAGTGAAGCCTATCTGCATACCTTGGCACATAAGGTTTGGGCTTTTGGCTAAGCATATACAGATGCGAGACTGCGACTGGCTACCATGTGGACTAGATGTCTGATTGTTGTGTGTCCACGGTTCTGCCATGATCTAAATTGTGGATCTTCTGCAGTACACACGGCATTTCAAGCGTTCTACGATGCCCCAAGGACAATTTCTTTCTTCATGTTGTACATTAAGGTGGCTTCAGGCCTATGACTATTACCGAGTTCTATGAAAGCAAGCGCCATCAATGCAGCTAGCTCATATGTCATATCCAGACTTAGGAATATGCGAAGACGAGAGTCACCCGCTGCATTTGTATTCTACCGGGTAGCCTTTTTTAAGTTGCGTAAGGCTATTATATCCGATGAAGTTGGACGCCCTACTATATCCGCTAGAAATATACTTAGGTAGGCAGGTATAGTTCCCATCACCACAACACCACCCACCAAAGAAAAAGAAATCGAGCAACAAACATCCCTAACTATCTCCCTTCCCTCCCCTTCCCCTTCTCTCACTTGATCACTAAGTATCCTTCCTCCACGCCCCAGATCAAACCAACCAGCTATCACGATATTAATACACAACCATTACAACCCAGCACATACAATACCCCTATAATTACCATACACAACCCACCACAGAGTACGTCTCCGTATCCGTATTCAAAGTACTCCGTACAGTAACCAACAATACCACATTACACTCATCCGTCGGATAACTAACACTGCCCCCCCAAACTCCAGCTCCGAGGCCCTACCCCGAAAACCTCGGGGTTTGTTAGGTATACAGTGACAAACGCCGGAATCGAGATCGGAATGGTACTCACAGGAGAAAACAACTCCTCCGACTCTTCGGGTCAGCAATCCAACGCGCCATGCGATGTTCGAATTATTTTGTGTAATGTACGTAGAGTACAGTCCTTCCTTAGTCTACTACGTACAGTAACTACTAGATGAATAAGTGACCGCCGACAAGATCGGAGATAGTAGGCGAAGTTGGGTGTTCCCGAAACACTTTATTGAGTAGTTAGTTAGTTAGTTACGTAGTGAGGTAACTATGAGTAAGGCATGAGTCAGGCATGAGTAAGACAGTTAAGTTAGTTACTCCGTAGTTACCCAGCAAAGCCAAAGTCCGCACAGCAAGCCAGCCAGCCAGCCAGCAAGCACGTGAGTGAGTGAGTGCGTGAGGTTCAGCAAGAACTGGCCCGGGCATGTTTCCCCGGGATGCCCTCGGGCGAAATCTGGCACGGAGTAACAGACACCAGATTCTACCGTGCCTGCGCTGGCTCAAGAACCTCTATCATACAAAACTCCAGAGTACCTAAGTGTGAGACCCTCCTACCTACTAAGGTCTGGACGGGTACGAGAGACATCCGAAAAGTGCGTGCTTTTCCCAAGTCTTTCCTGCTGGTTATGTGTGTTTGGTCCGAGATCCGACCGGCGCTGATGGCGGCGATTGCGGCGGACTTAGATTCCTAGATTTGGGAGGGAGTACGAAGAGAAGACCGGTAGGTACTCCGGAGTACATACAGTTCACTAAAAGTCAAACTCCACTTGGAGAATAAAAGAGAGTTTTCTTTCTTTCTTGTGTGCTTGTGTGCTTGTAAGCTGTGGTGCTTTTAGTACATACAGTACACACATCCTCTGGATAATGAGATTTGACGGTAGTTTCGCATACTCGAGCACCCTTCATAAAGGGGTTTGTCCAGCAGGGCTTATGTTGGAAGCAATTAAATGGCTAGGTATCTATCTATCACAAGCAATTTCCGTTCATTCAAAGGACAAGGGAATCAGTTCCAAGTGGGCTGGCTGGCTGGCTTGCTAAAGGTACAACCTGGCAACAACTGCCAGCCATGGCAAGTGAAGGCGGGTCACTCCCGTCACTTGCCTGCCTGGTAAGGTCATCATTGAGTTAACCGCTCGGTCATTTTGTCCTCGGTTAGCTCTACCTGACTCGGCCATAACTGGAGTCGGCCACCAAAAGAACCTTTTGACTTATTTGTCTCTCCCCAATCCCCCCCCCCCCGGTCTTGCCTGTTCTCGCTAGGATAGGCTTGTGCTAGGGACATGGGTTCTCCAAAACTCACTCGACAGGCAGGCCAAAAGGGAAAAAAAAAAATGTTTGCGCACACCAAGCAGTTGGGGTTGTTTTTCTTTCTTTGTGAATTGATTTTTCTTTCTTATGCCGACTGTAGCAAGCGTTAACTAGTTAGTTCTCTCTGCGATTCTAGGCTAAGACGTTGGGTAGAATCGGAGCCGGAGACAGACTCTAATCTCGGGGCCAAAATATCCACATGGATCTGACTGGCGCTTGCTTGATCTGCTCCTAACCAGCCTTACTGGACAGGTGTAGGGATGCAGCAGCTTCTTTTGCGTTGCGCTCATGCATCGTTGAATAATAGGCAGTGCCGCAGTCCTGTCAGTCTAGGCATTTGCGGAGGCTAGCCGGCTCCAACGAGGGAGATCACCATACTGAATGGCCTGTTCGTCTGTCAGTGATCTCGTTCTCACTTCTTACTAAGGACTAATGCACAGTAAACTAGTCTCCTAGCCCAGACTAAGGGCAATCTATTTAGTCCTACCAGATGAGGTAAATGCAGGCTAGTTTGCACGCACGTCTACCGGCGTTAGTCAGTGCAAGTTTGAAACGAGGCTCCACCGGAGGGGAGTGGCAGTGATGGGAAGATGATAGGCGTAGTAACACTGTAGCCTGGTGGTAGTCAAGTTAGCGATGATGACGATTGAAGTTTGTGGTAGTGTCAATCGCCCGTGGCTTCTAGCAACGTTGGTTATACGGAGTACTGGGAATCGAAATTTTCCAATTCGAAAAAGACCGGAACCACAGGGTCGTTCAAGTCAACCCAAATTGAACTGTAACAAGGCGCGGATAAGGCAGGCCGAGATCCGGTCGAGGGACGGACCCAACACTAAGCTATCATTGGAGTGGATACCGTGCGGAGATCGCCGACGATGAGGAACAAAGAGGTGTTACGTTAATTTCTTTGTCCCCTCTGCTGCCGGTGGTGGGGTTGTCGGTCTTGTGAAGCCTGACGATCGCGACCGGAGTGGTAACGGACTCGACGAGAAGTCACGACATTGATCGCTGGAGGGTTATTATTGTTGATCTATAGAGACGGCTGGCTTCCTCGACTGTCCATGGTTCCATTGGGACTCGGTGGTGGTGTTACCTGAAATGGGAACCGCGCAGCGGAAGTCCTCCGTCTGTCCCATGCGGCCATGTCGACTTCGGTGGTGTTTTGCGTAAAGGTGAAAAGGACGACGACGTGAACATACTAGTCGGTAGGCTAAATTAAACAAGCAAGTTTAAGAGGTGGCATCTGCACGACTGACTCTCAGCCCCATCTCATCCACTGGAACCCGGTGACAAGTACGGAGTAAGCCTCCGTGGGCGCGCCGTAACCCCATCCCTCCCTTCCCCCGTCCCACAATCGCTGTGATGGCTGTACGTCCCCTCATGAGGCCCGGGCTGCCTTAATCACCAAGGGAGCTTCGAAGAGCGGATAGCAAGGAAGGGTAGGAAAATTTGACAGCCCGGAAGTTTTCCCCCTCGAAGTGAGAATATCTCAGCTGCCTCTGTGCTCAAGCGCGGCCCAAGAATTGGATCCGGTGAGGGGGCAGGCAGCACCGGCTGAGACTAGCAGCGAAAGAGAATGCACCAACGGACCCGACAGTCTGGTCGAGGTGTGATAGTAAGGCATTAGTAGGCAGCCTTGAGCAATTTCCGTCCAGTTGAGGGGTTTCTGCTTTCTGGGTAGGGTGGATAGACAAGGATCCTTGCAAGTGAGGCAATTGGCTTCCTAGCGAGTGCGGAAATGTGGCAAGATTGCGGTAGAGGCCCGTCAATCCTTGGAGCAGCACAGTGGGAGGAGGTGTATCACCAACGTACGATGAAGCTCAAGGTGATGAGAAAGAAGCACTGACTCAGCCGATTGGAAGTGGTTAGTGAGCTAGGCAGTTCTTCAGTCTGTTTTAAGGTACGGAAGTAAGCTTACTTGGATGCGTGCCTTCCCGTAGCCCCCTTCTTTCACCTTCTCCTCCCCTCCCCTCCCCTCCCATCCCCGTGAAGGGTTGTGTTATGGGGTGGAGGGGGAGGGGGGGGGGGGAATTTGGTCGGGTAAAGGTGGGTGTTGTGGAGGGCACTAGAGAAGGTCCGGACTACTGCTAATGGGAAGAAATGGCCGCGTCTTAGTCCTAGTCTTCTTCGAGTACATATTTTAATATTGATCGATCTGGACTTGCTTGTCGATCGAACGGCCGTCAGTCTTGGTGGTGGGTATTGACAATACCGTGTTATAGGGTAATACAGGTTACAAATGTTTACATTGACACAATGTTACAGAACAGACATGATCACTCCTCTTTTGGATGGCATGCATTGGCGACGGGGTGCCAATCGGCCACCGCCATTTTTCCATCCATGTGTCCTCTCGTTCGCTTGCTCTTCGTTTCTGATTGAACCAGAGGTTCCTGTCGACGTAAAAGTTAACGCACATGATCCGCCTTAGCAAAAAGGATGTCATCTGAGGTCAGATTGATGGCTTAACTCATGACTCAAGGGTAGCAGGGCCGTAGCTGACCAAATAGAGTCCATGGCCAAAATTTAACGGAAAAAAAAACGCCTCGTTAGATTCGCGACGTCGGCTTACGTATCACGCTACCGGTCGATTACAACACGGTCTCGAATCAGGATTGCTGAGCTAGACGTTAAGCGCCGAGCTTTGTGGAGGTTAGTTCGATTTTTCCAGCTCCGCCCAAGACCTCAACTCATGCACAGCAACTGTGCCGCACGTCATATCGGGAAGGCAGGCAGACAGGCAGGCGAGACGTTAATCTACTGATTTGGCTGTGGAGCCGATGCGATGCACAAAAGGGCCGACTCACCCGGCCACTGGAGTCACAATGATACGTACAAGCCTTTGCCAATGCCTGTATTCCCCTAGAAATCAGGAGTTCCAGATCGATTGAAGCAGTAAAGAGAGAACTAGAACTTATTTGCTCTAAGGTGGCGTCTGAAACAGAAATCTGTGCTTGCCCGTTCAAGTAAACACGCAATAGATGGGTTAGCTCAAATGAGGTGTTTGAGCAGCCTTGCTAACTTACTCAAGCCACTGTGAGGTCCGGACCGTCACTAATTGCGGCGGCGGAATAAAAGACTCGGTCTGAGGCGACTCGACCCACGTGCTAAGCGGCGCAGGGGCAATAGAAGCCGATCTCGAAAGCG